TTGATAAATGTAAATGCTTCTAAGTTAAATGATGCAAGTGTGTGAAACTGTTAAATAAACTTTAAGAAATTAGCGTCTCTAATGTCGGTGTACACTATTGACTAGCGTAAGGCGAGTAACAGTACAGAATACATGATTTTAAGGCTGATACTCATAACCTGGTCCATAAAATAACATGATTCTAATGATAATTTGAAAAGCATCCTGACACAAGCAGTCTGCAAACCTGCCCTAGTGGAAAAATAAAGAAACCAAATGCATTTCTTAGATTACATTAAAACTCAACTCATAACACGAATGGCAATGTGGTATGCACATGATTTCATCATATACCACGATGGTCACAAAATAGTGTTACTATTAAAATAACAGACAATATGAATTACAATGAACCAGCAAGACAGTCTGGAAAAACATACCCGACATAGATCATCATACTCTCTCTTACATAAACACAAGTAGCATCCTCATATTTCAGATGATGCCGTACATTCATAGGATTTTGAAAATAATATATCTAGTGCCAAGTCTAATTTCTTACAGGGAAGCCCGAATAAAATAAAAAAAAATAAAAACAAGTCCATAGTACATTCAGTACTGTTGCTGGCTTTTATTACAATCAGACAGTTTTTCTTTTTCATTTTAATGTTTATCTAGAGTCAAGAGCCACCAGGAAAAAGGATAAAGGGGTTGAGGATAGCAGAAATCACTTTCAGCTGCTGTGTTTAGTGATGGCTGGTGACGGGACATTGGGTCCAGCTCTCGGATGCCCCCTGCTGCCTGGCTCAATATAACCGCTTCTCATAACTGCCGAGGAAAGCAAAGCAACACAACCTTAATAAATGCAGTTACATTGATTACAGGGCCGGAGTGGGACTCATTTTCAGCCCTGGAGTTTCATGTCTCAGACCGGCACACTTTAGTTTACGACTGAGCTATTAAAATAATTAAAACCTCAGTATATAAGTCTGCAATAGTGCACTGCTCTCTACAGCCTTGTAATTCATTGTATTTTTCTAGAGCTTTTGTTTACACATATATATATATATATATATATATATATACATAAATACTGGCCTTTTCAGTGCTGTCTTTGCGTTTTATCCATTTTTTATCTATTATTTTTTCCTCGCATATCTCCAACAACTGAGGTTTTTTTTTTTTCTTAGCAAGGTGCCGCAAATGGAAAATAAGGGACAATTGTGATTCATAAGAAAATAAGGGACAGAATAAGGGATGCTCAAAATATTTGTACTGTACCATAATGTATGTCTGCCTGCAGTTCAAAAGTTCTCAAAAATAATCACATTTGTTTTGCTTAACCTATTTATGTACATTTATTCAAAAAAATCATTTTAATGTCATACAAAAAAAAAAAAGAAGTAAATTGTACCATTAAAGAATTGTGACTGCACAAGTAGTGTAGGCCTACTAATTTAGGAGGTGAAAATACTGTGAAATTACATACAATTGCATGAAATTTGAAAGCATAACAACTGAAGGTCTATGAAACGTCAGTCAATAAAGCAATTTTTTTTAAATGACACTTAAATGTTTGAACTAAAATATTATTGCAACCATATAAGGCTAGCCTATGAATGAATGAAAATGCTTTTTTTCAATTAAAGAAAACGTAGAGAGTGCGGCCTACTTCTAGAGCTTGGATTTGTACTTCAATAATATACTGAGGTCTAAGTTTAAGAATGCGCTAGAAGCTAAATTTTTTTTAAATGTATTTCTCTCTTTCTATTTAACAGCATTAACTTACAATAGTGAAATATGTCTTTCCTCAGGTAGATTGAATGTTTTCCTGCCTTGCTGGATGTTGGGCTCATGATCAATAAGTTGCTCAGTAATCGCCCAAACCGATTTGCCAAAATCAAAATGCAGACGGTGAAGGGAATTGGCGTTAGCACGAGTCCCGTTTGCTGTGAAGCGGGAGCAGCCGGCAGAGGATTCCGCTTGGTCTTAAAGGGGTGGTTCAGTGTTTTTTTTTCTAGGCTTGATTGTGTTTATGGGGTGCAGTCTAACATGTGTTAATGCTTTGTTTAAAAAAAAACGCATTATTTTTCACATAATTTACCTTTATTCCACACTGCTCTGTCCCTTCTCTGAGAAACACGCTGATCAATTTCCTGCTTTTATGAAGCCCCTCCTTCAGAAATAGGCGATGGGCTCTGATTGGTTAGCTAGCCCAGTGTGTTGTGATTGGCTAAACCATCTCTAGTGCCTCTAAACGTCCCGCCCCTCACCTCAGAGGCATGTGCTCCGGTTGTATTGTAAACAAAGGCGTCGTTAATATCGCTTATCAGTTTGAGCCAGATTGAGAAACAGAGGATATTAGTGAAGAGGATCGTGCAGAACCTGAGCAAGCACAGCTTTTAATGGTAGGCCTATGTTTTTTGTTTGTTGTTGTCTCATTCTTCTAGATACGCTGTTATTTGTAAATGCTACTGCTTATGTTCGCTTTTAATATAGTTTTATCCTGATTAAAGCTTTAATACAGTA